AACCCGGTTAATAACTATGTATAGACCTCGCATTTATAATGAGCAACATTTGATAGAAAACCTTCTCAATAGACCCTTTCACGGTTTCCGACGCCATATTGTTTGGGAGCAAAATTACTAAGGAGCGTAGGGGAAAGAGATGTTTTTTCAATGTTTTGTGACGTTTTTGAGCCGATCGAGTCATTCTTGTCGAGGCAAGATTTTTCTTACTGTCAAATTGAACCAGTATGATGGAGTCTTACTGCGGGCCAAACTCGCAAACCCCAAAGCCTCCGTCTCTCTATGCACCAGTGTTATGCTGGCTCCATCGGCTCAAAAACAGCACACAAAATATTGAACAGAGGATTCTCCATCTACAGGAAAAGTTTGGTCTCGAAAATTTACCTCAGAAAGGAAATATAACGAAAAACGTATCTCTTTCCCCTACGCTACTTAGTAATTTTGCCCCCCAAGCAATATGGTGTCGGAAACCGTGAACGGGTCTATTGATAAATAAAATACTTAATTACCTCGAACGTCAGAAATAAGCCTATACATGGCCTGCGGCCCTCGGGATGTATATGGCCTATTGCCTCCGTTCTCGGTGATTAACTCTTACTTAGTTCAAGGCCGCTAGCCAAGAACTCGATAATCGAGATATCGTTGGCGCTGGCATAAATCTTCCACCTTCGTATGCATTTTGCTTTACTTTCGCTAAGTCACAGTAGCGAATGGACGTGCTACCGATCCTCTCGTACGATAAGACGGGAAACGATAAGAGAAAGTCTATCATACGGCAGAGTCTAAGATTTCCGTCAGTTCTAAGACAAAGTGTGGTTGAAGTTGGTAAGTGTGTAAAATCAGCAAAGCAAGCCGTGAGAAACTTTTTCATATACATATACTTGTTTTATTTACTTTTTTCTTATAATTAGCTATCTTTCTCTGGACCGAACACATCGAATCGTCAGAAAAATAAAGATTGTCGCGATATAGAACTGAATTATCTCAATGCTTGACTTGCATTTGCATGCCTTGCGATACGTTAGCTTATCACAGTTACTTCTATCTTGAAATCATATAGATATACGTCACGGTTGATTTTTCAAAACGCATYCCACATGGAAAGGAGTGACCATGCGTACTTACTCAACAATGAAACAGGCAACATACTAGGTCTGCTGGTCAYAGAAAGGGGTTAATCATCTACGGTCTAGGTGCCGACTAACCTCTCCCTTAGKCTTCCGCCGATCTTCCTGATCAGGCTGTAATTCCTCCCAGGGATAGCGGTGTTGGGGTCGAAATCTCTGGAATAGCCGTAAATGCTTTGCGCTGCCATACGACGCTTCAGCATTCGGGTATGGGCTCCGATTATTTTTTTATTCAAACAAGAATGCATTTCCCAAAATTTCGTAAAGGATAAGGAATTAAAAAGGAAAATAATCCTAACCTAGTGAGATAATTAATGAATTTTTAACACCTTAAGAGATCATTGAACCCTAGTTAAATATTCTCTAGACTATTCAAGTTCACAGGAAGAAGAAAAAAGAAGAAAAATCCTGGAATTACAGCGTCTTTCATAATTACGCGACCTCGAAAAATTTGGCGCCAGCCCAAAACACTGTATTGGCTTCCATCAATCAAACTCACGATAACAACCGAAATCAACCGAGCGAACTGATATCAATGCAAAACTAAGTGATTTTAGTAGTCTAAACTCTGGGACCATATTTTTTGCTATAATCTTTCAAAAACTCGCGATAACAACCGAATGCAAAACGAGCGAATTGATATCGAATTGATATCAATGCAAAGCTAAGTGATTTTTAGTAATCTAAACTCTGGGTCAATTTTTCGCTTATCTTTCAAAATGAAAACAAGTGCTTAAGCTAACAGCCGGTGGGAAAATCTCATCGACCCAGCAAATGCTGTCTTGACTTTTTTCACACTTATAATTTATAAGTGTCGGTAGGGCAATAAACTAACATATACGGCGCGTAGGTGGACCTACTTCCTATAATTGTTCCGGTTGAATTATTTAGTGTTTTTCGATGTCTTAAAAACGGCTTTTTTAGTGTGCTGATTGATTAACTATCCTTATAACGACAAAAGAGTGAGACGTGGAGAAAGTGTTTTAGTTAAGTATTCGATCCCTTGGTGGTGTACATCTAGCGATCGTAAACAGCTTAAAGAAATATTTGTGCTTTTGCGTTTTTTGGCTAAAATACGAAAAATCACATTTCTAACTCATTATTCCAACCTAAAAGGCAACAAAATTGTTCGAMATTGAATATATTCAGGTATTTTTTTCATACGAACTACATCCGGGACGTCACCGGTTAACTGAATTTTCCCTTTTCGTTCACTTTTGCACTCTAGTAAGCGTTTTTGTTTTAGTTTTGTTTGTTTTTTCAGCGGGATAAACCATGACTACTAGCGACGAACCTATGAGTAAAGGCTCGTACGTTGTGTACGGAACAGTCATGTTCTTTATCCTTTGTCTCGGCATGGCAGGAAACCTTCTGACCATCCCGGTACTTCTACATCGAGACCATCGTCGGAAGAGCATCACTCCACTGATGTTGAACGTGTGCGTTGTGGATATAATCTTGTGCACGGTTGGATACAGGTACACTCTCGTATTCYCTCCTTCTMCGTCTCTTGCAACTCGTTCTGTTCAGTTCAGCTCTGTTCTATGTTATTCTGTCCTGGCTTTGGGGATTCTCAATTTTTTGTCAGATCGTCTGAGATCGTCATTGATGTCGGATGGACGAAGGGATGGATACGTAAATAACCATGAATAWTCTCTATTTTACCACYCACAGCRTGGCTGTCTCCTACAACTTGGCAGGRAAAGARATGAACAGAGAAGATAACTTACGGTGTGGRTGGCTGGCYTTYATTAACTGCTTCACTGGAATCGTCGCCATCATAACACTCAGCGTAATGAGTTTCATCTCATACCTCGGGATTACTCAGGTTAGCACCGCAGAATCAAGTCGAATCCCCAAAAAAACAATGATGATCATCATTGGCTCTATCTGGCTGTTTTCGTTTGCYATTTGTAAGTATACTTTCGTTCTAAATGCTTATTCTTCTTTCTAGTAGTCCCTTTGCTTGTCCCTTTCCGTRCCTTTGCATCGAAGCGACACGAACGGGACGAGCTTGCAATGATAGAGACATGTGAATTATTGTCCAAGGTGTTAAAAATTGTCTCTATCATTGCAAGCTCACCGTTCGTCTCGCTTCGATGCAAAGGCACGGCTTCCTTTCAAGATGGCGCAGGGAACTGTGAAGGGAACTATTTTTGATTATTCTTTTTGACAACTCGGTTTTGAAAGCGTTCATTTTGTGTTATTTYGTAGCTGTGCCACCGGCCTTTGGATGGAGTTCGTTTGTGCCKTTTGAGAATGGCATCAGTTGTCACCCCGACTGGGTGTCTCAAGACACCKCTGACCAGGCTTATATTGCTCTACTTGTGACTGGTGGTTTCTTTCTACCTCTCATAACCCTCGTGTACTGCTACTCTAAGACTTACAGGTTAGTTGAAGTTATTATTCGTGTCACCACAATATGTCATTCTTAAAAAATGTCTTAAAATGAGGTGAGATGTGACGTGACGTGACGCGAGGTGAGATTTGAAGTGACGTGACGTGAGATGTAACGTGACGTGACGTGAGCTGTTGTGAGGTGAGATGTGGTRAGGTGAGGCGAGTTGAGATTAGGTGAGGTGAGGTGAGATGTAAGGCTAGGTAAGAGGTGAGGCAAGACAAARCAACGCGAGGTGAGATGAGATGACGTGGGATGGGGCGGGGTGAGGTAAGATACGTAAGGTAGGTGAGGTGAGGTGAGGTAAGGTAAAGTGAGGTAAGGTAAAGTAAGGTAAGGTAGGTGAGGTAAGGTAAGGTGAGGTAAGGTAAGATAAGGTATGTAAGGTAAAGTAAGGTAAG